TCCCTCTGGACTGAATTGCCGTTACTTCGAATCAGTCTTCTAAAGCTTTCAGAGGAAAAGGACATGTAGAGTATTGTGGCTTGGCCTCTTGCCATTTTCTCTCTGTCATGCGCTGGAAGGCGCGTGTCTCCAACGGGTTACCTACAACACATCACCGCCGCGCCACAACACCATCACTGGACATGTTGAGACTGTGCGTGGGAACATGTCTGCAATGGCTGGCACTTGACATGCGCTGACATGTCTGAAAATCTTTGCTCTGAAACGTGCAAAACACAGTTTGGATTGAACATGTCTGTACATCACCTGTAAACCTACCGCAGCCCTCTAATCTTGCTGCCTCAGGGGGCACTCTCTAGACCTTGGCGCGCAGGTTTTCCACACACACGCACGCGCGCGCGCGCGCACACACACACACACACACCCACACACACACTGCCCCCACCTAGGAGTAGTTGAGCAGGAACTTCGCCTCGGTGTGGAGCTTCGTGTTCCTCATGCTTTTTGGTAAATGTGGAGGCTCGCAAGTCTAAGCCGCAGCCCTCTACATTTGCCTTTTCGTGTTCTTTTGGCCAGTTGTGGAGGTTGGACGGTCTAAGCCGCAGCCCCTCCACATCTGCCTTCTTGTGTTTTTTGGCCAGCTGGGAGGTTCGCGTGACACAGCCGCAGCCCTTCCGCAACTGCCTGGCCCATTGCTTTAGTTGCTTTAGGTCAGTTAGGCGTTCGCAGGTCAGAGCCGCAGCCCCCCACAACTGCCTTTTCGCTAATGTCAGGTCAGTTGAGGAGTTTGCAGGTCAAAGCCGCGGCCCCCCCGCAACTGCTTGCTGATGATTTCCTGAGGTGGGATGCCTTCGGTGAGAAACAACGTTATAAGTTGTTTGTTGTAAACGAACGCATGTTTGGCTGCAGTGTCAGGTGGCAAACAAGATTCGTTGGGAATCAAGTTAAAGTGGGAAGCAAGTTGGCTAACTCGGCGCAGATCAAAAAAAGGTTGATCGCAGTTGCACAAGTTTAAGTGCGAATGGGATTAGGGCAGAAAGTTCAGCGCATACTGTGCGCATCCAAGTTTGGCACAAAGCAAAGCGCAGAAACTTGACAGAACACCTTAACCAATCAAGAGGACCAAAGCAACGATGCATGAGGTTTGACCCATGAGGAATCCACTCCCGCAATGAGGCAGACTTCGCTAAAGAACCAGCGGGCCGATTTGGCCATCCCCCACTATTCAACGTGCGAAGAAACTCGGCCTTAAAGGCATAGAACTTCCATAGAAACCTGCGCCAGTAGCAACACCTATGCGTAAGATCAAGTAACTGTGGGTTGCAATCGTCCCCGGTCAAAGAGAATGCAATCTTAGAATTTCCCCAGCCCCACTGAAACCCAACGCCTTGGGCAGTGGCAGCCCGCCAACATTTGAAATCAGATTTTGAAACTTGCGCCAAGGACTGTCCAAAGGTGCACTTAGACGAACAACCTCCCAGCGCCAGTCGCTGTCTAAAGCGTGCCGGTAGCTTGCTAACTTTAACTTTAGTCATGGATGTTTTCATTTTGTGAAATTGCGACCTCCAAACAGTTTTTTTTGTCTACGCAACATGTACTGTAGTTGACATCAACCCCCAAATCCTTAGCGTGCCACATGAGCGGAACGCGAACACCATCGTAAGATACATGCTGCAGACGTTTGCGGAACTCTGGGGCAGTGGCCCATACCCAATCAGGGGACAATTGAAGTTTGAAGGCATTGCGCAATCTACCCAGAGATTGATACGCCAGCTTGCAACCCTCAATTGTTTGGATGCATAAATGACCAGTTATCAGCAAAAATGAAAGGCATGTACCGTCAGTGCTCAACACCTCGTGAGCCAAGTAGGCCATGCAGGTCAGCGCAATGACAGACAAGCTACACCCTTCGGGAAACCCAGTTTCGCTGCGCTCGCTCACCCCTGCCACCCCTTGAAAAAGGCAAGTCCTCGTAAAAGAGGAGAGCATGTCTTCGTAAGCATGTACATAACACGGGTTGACCCGTAGATGAAGCAGCAGCCAGAGCAGTGGAGCACGTGGCAATGCGTTGAAACACGTGATGATATTTGATGATGTCAAAAACGCCACCAAGCCGAGATAGGCCCTGATCAAAACTGGATTCCAAAAAGGTGGCCATCATGGCATGAATGTCCGTCACGGACATGCCTGGGACGCCCTCAGTAAGTGTGGGCAGCAACTTGGACGACATCCACTCTGCAATTTCGGTTGACCTGTACCTTGCCCAACGACGATGCAGGCGACTCAAGATGGTGATTGGTCGGATTTGTAAAGCGGTGCAAGATCCTTCAGTCTCTGGCAAACAAATGACCATGGCATACACGAGGAATTTGGGCCAAGATGCCCCCTCCTCCAACAGACACACGGACGGACGGACGGACGGACAGACAGACCGACAGACAGACAGACAGACAGACAGACAGACAGAAAGACTGACAGACACAAACAACACACACATAGGGATATGCCTCTGTGGGCTTGTCAAATCTTTTCATTTTCATCTTTCATCTTTGATCTTTTCATGTCTTCCTTCAAGTTCTCTTTATTGCAATGCTGGCTCAACAGTATGCTTCCCGAACCAACAACACCAAACTGTGGCAGCAACACCACTGATGGATCTACTTCCTGCACTTCACGAATGGACATGTTTGTTACGCACTCCCTTGCATCAACGCTTGGCCACAATGTAAGCAACAGCTATTTAAGGGTATTTTGGGATGGCCTGCAGGTACACAGCGATGATCAGTCCCTGCCTCCCATCAGATTCCATAGCTTTGTTAGGCACAGTTTGGAATCTGATGTTGTGCTCCCCTGTATTTTCACTTTGACTTCTTAACTGCAGCAAACGCATCCATAAGGCTGATCATAAAGTGCCAAAACCCAATCCTCAACATTTTACTCTTAGTAACAGAGCTTCCGCACACACAACACACACGCACGCGCGCGCCTTACCGTACCGGTGGACATTGTGACTTGGTTCCTCGTGACGGCAAGAGAAGGCATTAGAGACTTGCCGATCACCGTGCAAAAGGTCTCTCCGCTATCTGATGCAGCGCCTTTCGCCAGCAAAACATACTTGCAGGCCTGGTTAGTTCCAGAGCGTTCCAGCTGCTCGCGTCATTTGCGTTTTCGGGATGAACAGGAGATCTGCAAACAGGCAATCCGCAAGGAACTGCCTCCGGAGGCCGTGATACAGTGGCTGCTTTGCCGCGTAAATCGTGCCATCGGATACCGGTGGTGGTGTTCTAGCGCATCCCTTCATCTCTGTTTTGAATCAATTATTGAAACTGACAGCTGAACCCCATTTGCAGGTGACTGGTCAGGAAGAATGCCTCATTCTTGATTGAGAAGGCAGTTCTACTCCCAGGATCTGAAGATGGATCCTCTGCAAAGCTTCAAGGTTTTGAAAGAACTCCTAGATATGTGCTCCTGTAAGACAGGATATGGTTTGTGCGCAGAAGACGCCACACCGCGCTTATTGCAGTGGGTGAGGCGGGAGGGACGTGGATGCAATGCAATCACATGCATGCACATCAGTCCGCCAAGCATTTGCTCACAGGAAAAGAGCCGCCCACTGGTGAGAGCCACGCTGGCCTCTGAGTTTCCTGCACGTGGGGTGGTTTACACCCCGACTGTCTCGTGCGTGGTAGCATGCAAGCGCGTGGACTCAGACGCAGAGGGCTTTGGAAAGTAGTAGTACGCCTTTTTTTTGACAGGTTTTATTAAAACCATACGCCTTGGAGATTTTACAGCTCAGCCGTCGAGTCTTGCTGACTTGCGCTCGCATGTTGAAATGCTGTAAAATCCGCCTTGCGGAGTGCAGTCCACTAGCTGTTCCGTCACAACCTCCACCATTCCCGGAAGATCCCAAAAGGTTTGAGATATGCCGGGATGAGTAGCAAGTAGGCATAAGCAAGTGTTTGAGGTGACGCTTGAGGCATTTGAGGCGGGGCACGGTACTCGCAGAGCTTGGTCGAGCTACGGTCGGAACAAAACTTGCCAGCTGAGTGCTGGCGTCTGCCTCTGGAAGCAGATGCAAGATGCAAGAGTGTGCAGGTGGTGCCACAAGAGTCCAGATTTTAGATGAGCCAATCAACCAAGATTCTTGCAGTCAGCCACGGTTTCCATGATAGCCAGACGTTGGGCCAAAGCGGCACATCCTGCGGATGCTTGGACAAAAGGCCAGCATCCTTCTGGGTCGCCGAGCGTCATGAGCAAGATTAAAGTCTCAAGAAAAAATTGCAGAAGCTTGCACCTGAGCATCTGAGAAACCAAACGCTTCTGAAGATGTCGCGCCATGTTCCACAGTATTGGTGCCGGCTCGCAGCTAACAACAAGTCATGAGCAGGGCCACACAATTCTCACCCGTATTTGGAGAAATAACCCCAAGCAATCTCCAAAAAACGCAGCTACGACATGATTGGCGCCATGTTAGGTGCTCGCATTAAGGAGACTCATACCAACCCACGCCTTGCGGGCAGTACTTCACTGGAAAGCTCATCAGCGATGTTGCGCACTGTTTGCAGGACACAAGACGTGCGAGGCACGGGTCGCGACTCATCATCCTCGTCATTCCCATCGGAGTCGTTTCTCTGCCTGCCCCCTGATATTTTTGCGAGCCACTCTGCTCACTGCCATGGGCAGAGTTTCTTAGGTGCGCCCTCTTCGATCAACTTCCTGCCTTTGTGGGGCCTTGTGCTGAGATCCCTTCAGACATTTCGGTCATTAGAGCCGGGCACCTCTTTGACACCAGAGGCTGGGGCACCGGAGCTCTACGGGAATCGACCGAACGCAGCGAGCCGCAGGAGGCTGAAGCGGATCTGAAGCAGTAGGAGACGAAAAGGGATGTGGGAGAGCAGGATCTCCTCAACGAGTGCCTGTGCTGGAGCGGGAGGCAAGTTCTGGGTCGTGCCAACCGTGCAAGCCATTTTGGCCATGTTGAACAGGACACATTCGAAGATTCTGCTGACCAAGAGTTGTTGGTCCAGGCACTGCCAGAGTTGAGTATTTGTGAGTTGTGTCATATGCTGGAGCTGAGGCAAAAGCAGAGCTGGATAGCAAGCTGCAGGCTGCTGAAGCACGACTTAAGCGAGCTACAGCGCCGGATCCTTGGACTGAGTCTTAACGGGCTTGTTGCCAGACAACGTCTGGTGCCCAGGTTCAAACTTCCAGAGGCAGACTCTTTGAGAGTCGAGGTGTCGCATGGCATGTTTGTGTGAAACGTGTTCCTACCGAGCAACCGTAAGGGACCTTCACATGCAGGGAGTATGATTTGCTCGCCTCAGCCGTGACCGGAGAGACGGTCATCAGGCTGAGCACCTGTCAGTACTGCCATAGATTTCGATAAGGGGGGGCGAGAAGCTAAAGCTAAAGCACATGGCACAGTATCGCGGCTGACGGGTCGATTAGTGCCGTGTGATCACAGCAGGGCGGGGCTGTCGGAGGAGGTGGGATGTTCATGGGCAAGTGACTGAAGCGCCCCAGACGATCTGAGCCACAATGTTTGGCAGTTGGTTCTTCTTCACTCATTCGCTTACAGATTTAAGTTCAGGAAGCGGATCTCTGCCAGGTGCAGTCTCTACAGCTGGAAGCTGAGCAGCTTGCGGATCAGCTTGCAAAGTTTTCGAGGACACTAGAAGGCAATCGTATTCCTCAAATGACATTGGCCATGACTCCAGACACGTGGTGCAGGCCCGGAAGTTGAAGCGGCCGAAGCCCAGGCTTTCAATTGCTTTTTAACAGGGTGGCCACGTTTCCATTCGGAACCACACCTCCAATGAACCTTCTGCCGATTCGTGGCGGTTCGATTGGGTTCGGTTTGAAGGTCTTGGTCTGTTTGAGAGCGTTGAGGGACATTCAAGCCCTGGATGACTATTCCTTGAGTCAGAGTTGACGATGCGAAAAGGAATGCAGGCTGCAGGGAGGACAGGCGTGATTTCTCGCGGCATCTAGGACTCCTGTGGAACATGATGACTTCCGCAACTCTAAGAAGCAGTCCCTTCGCCAGATTCTCCATAATGAATGTGTGTGCGCTGGGAGTCCTAGTATGTATTTCTGGTGCACGCGGTGTTGCCTTTCGTCCGGGCTTGAAAAGTACAGAGGGTATAGTTTCTTGCAAGCAGCCGACTCCTGGCTCCGCCACATAATGCTGTTTGTTCCTGACTTTGAATTGCAGAAGACAGAGATTGAAAAGCTTCAATTCAAATCCCCTCAAAACCTTCCCAGTGCAAGCCTTAATGGCTGCAAGCAGGCCACGGGCATGCAGTATCACCCCTGAACCCGCATCAGTAGCCAAGCTGATGCTGAAGCAGAACCTTCTGAAGAGCCAACAAGACCGCTGGATTCCGCTGGATCCCATGCGTGATACGTCATGCTACGCATGGTGCTATGACGCCGATGTATGCCGATGTAATATGCTGCGCACCTTACAGAGCTAATGGCGCAGGAGGAGGAGCCGACGCCAGCAGGCTCGTTCACGACCCTGAGAGCCTGAGAGCACGGTCAGAACATGGCAAGATCAGGGCCTCCAGCCACTCCAGCCAAGCTCTCGGACCGCCTCAGCTGGGAAAAGTTCGAGGCCATTGTTTTTGTGACTTGCAGATGACAATGTGAGAGGAAACAGCAGTGATTGCAGGCAATGTCAAATGAAGAGCGGTCAGCGACTGAGCCACAGTCCTCTGAAGACTGCTCAGCTCACATGCAGCCAGGTTGGCATTGACCCAGGCCCGTTGGGTTTCTTTCTCTATTCTTTTGGGATCTTTTTGCGAACCTCTGAAGGAGGTGGGTCCAGCCTTTGGGCTGTCAGTGGCAATTGTCGCCCTGTGCTACTGGTTTGCGCCTTAAATAACTGGTGAACTCCACCAGTATCCTCCAAAGATTCGACCGTTCTGCAATATCTTGCTTTTGCAGGTCTATCACCCTACCAATTCTGTTGAATGCCTACCATGATAGCACCGGCCAATGGCCTCGGGTTGAGGAGAGAATGCGAACGAGCAGCATCTTGCAGCTGTTCGTAGCTGTGAAACACATTTCGTTTTCTCTCTGCAGGAGATCTTCTCGTTGTCGGACGGTGGAAAGGCCGCTGGCGCAGTCGCAGGCCCGACGCCCGACAGCCTGAGATGACAACTTCTCTTTATCAGACATGAAGCATTGTGCTAGGCATCCTCGGCCTGGCCGCTCTCTTGAAGCCTCTGCGAATTGCAGCCGCGATCGCGCTGACGCCGTGGACGGTACCAGTAACTGAGTAAGTAATTTCTCCTGGCAAACGGCATTTACGGCAAATAGCAGGCCGACAATGTGCTGCCTTACTTTCCATGGAGCTGTTCTCAGCTTTCGCTGCTCATGCCCAGTCATTTCTTGATGCTTGCATCGTGCGCAAGGCTCTCGCAGTCCAATGACAAGCAGGAGGACAGTCCAGAGCGCTGCGATAGCATGTTGAACGCGGTTCCTCGAAGCTCAGAGCCTCTGTTGCCGTAACAGGACGGAACCGGCAAGGCATAATGTTGGTCTTCTTTTGAGATGATTTGCGTGTAATGCGCGCCTCGTTCAGTCCGGATTTTCCAGCGGCCAGCAAGATGCTGCGTCCTGCCTGAACTTTTCGGTCCGGAGAAGCCATCTGGGCCTCACTCTGTCCTTTGCCCTCCGGCAAGAAGCTTGCAAATGCATCAAACCCTAACACCTTGAGGAGGTCACAGGACCCCCCAAGACAACTCAGTGTCTTAAATCCAGAGGCCTCTCAGAGCCCTTCTTGAGCCAGAACACGCTGGCAATATCTGGCAATGACTCAGCAAAAAGCTTGCAGAAGTCCAGGCGTCTTGAGGCGAGCTGGGATAATTTATGCAACGGCTTGCTGTAGAGGATTTCTGCACCCAGAGATTCGGGGCGCCCTTCTGTCACTGCTTGTGACCGTCATGCACGAGCATCCCGCCAAGACAATGTCCAGCAAATCTTCAAAAGGTGGTAATCTCGGTAGCTGGAGAGAGGTGTTGCGTACAACTTCAACATCCTGCTATAACTTCAGGGCTCTCACCTTTGCATGGCTTTCCTTTTCTTGTCTGAGAAACTCGTAGTGAAGTCCTCTTTCTGTATGTCGTCTAAAAAGCAATGCTTTTACTTGTGCGATCCGCCATCGACAAGTCAGAAGTCTACAATCCTGACCTGGTAAGATCTGAATCCGAAGGATGGCCGCGAGCATGGGATCTGTGCTGCACTTGTTTGCGCTGCACGAGCATTTGTTGCATTCTTTTCCGCCTTTCCCTCCTGCGACTTTCAGGCCGTTTGCAGGCGAGGTACGCGTACGATCGCGTACGCGCCTTCAAACCAGCCGCCTTGGCCCCACCTCGACAATTTTTCCTCAAATCCGCGCGTGCTTTTCTCGGCAGACCCGGGCAGTAGCTCATTCGAGCGAGCCAGTGCCTGCAAGATCCTGCAAGGGCACGTGGCAGGCACCAGGGGCAGTTGCAAGCACAAACACTGCATTAATGTGGGATTATGTCGGATTGGCTTCTACTCGGGTACCATACTTAATGTCAAGTTTTCGGACTTAATCACACGTGATCCACTATCGGCCTGAGTTTGGGCAAAATGCGGGCATAGAATGCAGCGACACAACACGGGCTTGATGAAGACAGATCTTATCGTGTTAACATCGACTGCTCTGCCGGTACGTGCGCTTCAGCACAAAAGACTACCGTGGTACAGGCAAACAACGGCAAAGCCAATTTTCAGGTACAGCTGTGCTTCGCACGGGTAAGTACGGCTAGACACAGCCTCAGTCATAAGGAGTATTCCTGCGTCTGTGTGTGTTATGTATACGGATACATTTATATGTCTCTAAATACGTGATATATGATATATGTGTAATTCCATACTGCCCCGTCTAAGACATACATTCCATCTGTGGAACTTTGCGTGGCCCACAACTTGGCGGATGCAAAGATGTCTTTTCCCCTTCCTTTCCCACCGGCACCTCAGTCATCTGAGTCCAGTTGGCACGCTAAGTCTCCAGCAATTTGGCACGATGGAGCAGCCAGATTTTCGTGCTGATCACGCGGTAGCAGGGCTGGTCACCGCAAGCGACGGGACTCTAACCCAAAGCTGGCATTGTCACCCCCGCTGCAAGTTGGGCTGTTTGCCAAGCACCCTCGTCGTCGTGCGCAGTCGCGTCTAATGTGGGGCCGGTTTTTGTGTAATTATGCCCCGCACAAGCACATTGATTAGATTTGGGGGGAGGGGGGTGGCCGGTCTGGTGGCTCCAGTATGACTAGTTCTGGGACCTCTTGCGATCCAGAAACCTGAAACTACGCGTCTTCTACATGAAATCAGGTGTGAAAGACATTACAGGTTCAGAATTCAAAATTGCATTAAACTGCTAATTTTGCCCCGAAAACTTGACATTTGACATGCATCCCCAAAGCAACGTGGGGACGATCAAGGATCAGAAAAAAGCAGGATCAACAAATCAAAGCCTGGGCATCAATACGTGAACGAATCAATGAACATCAACGTATCGACGTATAGGTTTTGGGGGAGGCACAGCCAAAGCGAATTGCAGCACTTGACGGTTCCCCCGACCTGCAAACATCAAAATGCGGCTTTGCCACTGCAGCGAATCGCGGCATTTTGCAGGGCCATGCCCCCAAGGAGCCAAACACGAATCAAGCTGGCGGTAGTTGAAGATTGCATAAGAGTCCCCAGAAGTCACACAGGGTCATGTTTGAAGCGAAGGACCTCCCTCCTGCTTTTGCAAATTATTGGAGTGGCAAGAGTTGAAGACTCATCAAATCAAACGTATGCCAGGTCATGTTTGGAATGAGGCTTATTCAGGCATGTGGCAGCATTGAAGTTTCATCTCATGATGGAAGTGAAGCCATTGTCTGTTTTGAGCAACAAAAGAGTTGCGGGACCAGGTTGCTGGGGCCAGACCCCTTCTGACGAATCATTGAGGAATGTAGCAACATCGACATCATTCAAAGAGTATATATTCAAGAGTCGGGCGGGGTCATGTTTGAAGTGAGCACACTCTTGAACAGAAGGCTGGGGGCAGGGGTGGCATTTGGACTGGCAAAAATTGGAATTCCATCAGAAACCAACAGAGGTCATGCTGCGAATCAGTGACGCATTTACTATCTGCAGCATCTTCAAGGTTTCGGATACCATCAGCTGCAACTCACAGTTCACAACATCTGTAGCTATCTGGAGCTCTCCAGAGATATCCGGCACTTTTATGTGCTCCGTTCAGACGCCTTGAACAACTGCAATACTGAAACTGTTGTTCTTTATACAGCGAACTACGGCATGTTGAGCTCTGCAAAAGGTTTCGGAGACTGCCATGAAAATTGCAAAGTTTGGAGGTATTGATAAGCTGCAGAGAAGGTTCTTCTGCCTGCATCCCTGAAAGCCGTCTCCCGGAGCAGCACGATGGAAAACGCGCCTGCAATGGACGCACCTGTCATTGGTGAAGCGACGGGCGTTGTCTCACGCAGTGGATCTTTCATGGTACCTCCGCTGCCCGAGAGAAGGCCCAGTCTCCCTGCCGATCGCCTTCTGAGACCAAGCGCCCCTCCCATGATGGATGATTGGATGATCCATTTTTGGAAGGGACCATGGCTTCCTCTGGGCCCTGACATCTGGTGCAAGGCGTAAGGAAACTTGGGTTGGCACGCTGCGGTATACAAATGGCAGTTGATGTCACCAGCGTCACCACTGCGCACTGCAGTCTGCAACCGCAGGTTACCGTAACCAGGTCTGTCTTTGAGTAGCAAGCCCCAAAGTCCTTCAGGCAAAGCCCCGTTAACGGCACGCTTCATTACAAGTCAGTCATCCATCAACCAGGACAATTGTCTGGTTCTCCAAAGATGAGGATTGGGGTTTAGGGGAGTTTGGGGTTATTGGGGATTGTGGGTTGAATTGAAGGGTTGCGGGTTTGGGGTCCACATTTTTGGTCCAAGTCCGGCAAGAAAAGTTTCTTCTCGTATGTCTCAGCCTTTGCTAGCTGGCCAAGGGGTAACAATCGTAGGTTCCCACGAGCGTGACTTTCCTGGAGTAATGAGTAATGAGCCCCAGATTCCTGAAAGTCCTGACTACAAGTTTGCAAGGCAGTCTCTTAACCAAGGCTAATTTCCTGGATGCTCCGTAGGCTACACATGGCAGCTCTGGCTGGTTGAAGGAAGCGGCGATTTTGCAAACTCTACATCCTTCAAAATGCGAATGCAGATAGGCATTGGCACGAGAAGATTGCAGCATTTACTGTCATGAGAAGTTGCTCAACAGTAAGACTTCGCGCAAGGGGTAGGGGGTGCGCGCTGGTCGTACGAGTGAAGCCTTAAAAATGGTGTAGGAGCCAAGGTCAGGCAGAGATAAGCATATCCAGACATGAACAAAATCTTAGTAAAACGATAGGGACGATTCCAAGCCTTACAAGAACATGTAGAATTTTTTCCGCATGGCAGACCCTGCGTACAAAACTGGCTTAGAACATGAATTGACATGTTGTAGCTTGCCGCTACATGTGCTCACCACTGGCAATTCAGAGATCAAGCCTGTCGTTCGTATCAATTCCGCAGCTCAAAGGGCCAGGTCCGCAGAACTCAAAGTTCTGCAATAATATGAGCAGCTGCCTGAGGAAAAAATCAAAGGTGTCGCCTTTTTTTGGGCTGGGGGCAATCATCGTTTTACAGGGTCTTGGCTGCACGTTCATACCGATCGTTTTACAGTGTTGTGTGAGTCGCCCATTTTGGGATATCGCTCTTGGGGCAAAGACCTTGCATTGGCTGGACCTAGGGTCCAACACGGCAGACCCTCTTGCACATAAGTGTATCTTCAGATCACACTGGCCAAAGTTTAGGGGAGTCCAATGTGCAATGCTACCTGCAGGGTTGCTGCGGATGCACGCGGTCGAACATTTGCGAGCTTCCGCCTTCAATTCCAACCCAACAAATGGAAACTGTGCCTGCTAAGCACGCTGGATGTCACTGCCAAGGGCAGAAGGCACGGAAACCGCATTGCGTCCAGGCAAAGCGCCCGCTAGGGCGACATTGGCCGCCTCGCGGGAACGTGCCGGATGAATGTGCCGGCCGGGTGTGCCGTCGCTCGCTTGTGTCACGAAGCCGGATGCCAAACAGCGTGGACGCGGCCGACGTAAATTACGGTGCTTGGACAGACCCTAATCAAACGATATTAAATGAACAGCATTGTTCCTGTCCCTTTCCAAAAGCTGGAAAACACACGTTTGATGATGTTGTACATTGGGAGTCTCGCAATCTTCCGGAAGGGCCTTTGCTGTCTGTACAGGATCAGGGATGAAAGCTTTTCAACCCCTGCTCGCGACAAAATTTCATTTTTCTTGGACATTTGAATCTCGCGGCCACACCAGCGTCCCTTCAGCGTAACTTGCCCACTGTACTGTCGAGCTGCTCATCCAGAGGCGTTGGGGTGATCTGTTGGCGGCAGCGGCTCATCGCTTGCCGAGAAATCAA